ACTTACTTACCTACTGAGTGGTGATTCCAATTATTAGAGTCTATTCGCCTCATATCTCGTATGTAGATGGGATTCTAGCAGAGTACCGATAGGTCTATCCAATCAACAGGGCACTCCGCTTTGAATCACAAATGTCGCCTACATTTTTAACAAGGATGAATCGGCCAATAACTTTGACTTTCTTACTGATGTATTCACCAGGGAAAGAATCTGAAGTCACATCATTCTGGTTCTACCGTGCGGGCTGGCTCACGGGTTCAGGCAAGTGAGACATACATAACTCCACTTGCGGCTCAAAGCTTCAGTATCTATTTGTAATCGCGGCCGAGGAGAAGTTTATTGGCAAATAAGATGACGAATTATCATAGACTGATCATGAACATAGAGCTTGATGGGAATTTGTACTTGATGGCTTTGACTGGGTGGAGTCTTGTTGGCCATGGGGTGCGCAGCTTTGCGAAGCAGTAATACTCGGCGATTCCATCACATGTTCTGTACGATATAGTTTCTGAAGGTTAAAGAGTCGGTCACCGTTGACGTCTAGGCCTACTTTGAAGAACAACATTGATCTGCAGTGACACTGAAGGTTGAAGAAAAATCTACTCACATGGTCCATGGATCATGCACGTACAGGCAGTTGCAGCCTCATTATCGGCTCGAAAAGTACCCTGAGAGCTCAAACCAGGTAGCATGGCTCTGCTCTCTGTTTTGCCTTTTATGGCAGTGATCGGTGGGTAACAAGCTTTTGGACCCCACTGGCATCCTGCGGACTAAGGGCCAGCTGGGGATCACGAATTGAGTGGTCATCAAGGGAAAAAAAGTAATTACCGTGAATGAGAGTGATTTCTCTGTAATGTCTAGATAAGAATGATAAAATATATTACTCGTAGCTGTGACCTGTTCAAGTCGCCCCTACAAAAGTAGCACCTTGCGCCACAAATAAACACGATATCGAAATATCTCAGTATCCAGGTGCACTCGATAACAAGTGCTTTCCTAGACCACAGGTCCCTAATACCACACAGCTGCTGCAAAAATGGCCGACATTGTACCAGTCCACTACTTCACTCGATTTCCCATGGGGAAATCTGCCCTCCATGTCGCTCTTCTTATTGCTGGCACTTTCACTTGCAAAGCCCTGATCATCATTGCTCTATGGCACTTTTCGCAGAGTGAAGACATGTCGGTCTGGAGGAAGAGAATATTCAATGCTACGGTATTGACATTGATCGGTGTGATGGGTGTGGGGATTGGTCATTTGCTCGATAAACTGGTTCTCTTGGCTCGAGGGAAGATTTTATCGTCCCGGCCGCACAAAGCATCCTCGGTAAGAGATCATTACTCCCCTATAAGCTACCCCAATCAGACATCTCTAGGACCGAGTTCAAGATGGGAAATACTAACACTAGGCCTTCCAGATTGGATTCATCCTACGAGGGACGTTATCAGCAATCGCACGCTACCTGCTGCGAGAGGTCAGGCACAAAATAAACAGCCACACAACTGCTGCTGCTGCTGTGTTCATTCTGGTCAATATCGCAGCACGTTTCGGAGGTGGCTTTCTGGGTTTCGCTTTCAACATTGAGGACTCTGTCGTTAGGACGGAAGCATTGAAGGCTTCCACTTGGCCTGAGCCTGGGGAGCAGTTCTACCCGCGGGAAAGCTACAGAAACATGACATTGACAAGAGGCGAGTGCTACACATCTAGCTGCCTTTGAAGTTATGGTTTAGACCTCCGGTGACTAACCCAGCGTAACTATCTATAGACTCCCTCTATGAGTTGGCCACACGTGCGGTTCGAGTTGAGACGAGTGACGTTGGTTCTCGAACTTTAACGCTCGAAACTGATGGCATTGATACAATTCTTACAGCTATCAAAAGCATGACTTCCGAAACATCGCTGGAAGTATATACAGATGTACCACAGAGATCCGTTACATATAAATATGCGTTGCAAGAATATCGTGGAGATAAAATCACCAAGACGAACCAGGTTATTGAGGTGGATACCAAATGCCGAGCATATAAAGTTCTTAGTGTGACATCTACATCATGTAAGAATTTTCTTCCAAATTGGAATAGTACGGCAGCTTGATGGCTTACAAACTCATGCAGTGACATTTGATGATAATGGAAGAATCCGCGGTTACACCAGTAGACTTTTCAACCTCACTATTCCTGGAATTCGAAGGGCAACTGCTTCAATACGATACGACTTGAATGATACAACGATTGGAACCTGCGGTGACACCTGCGCAGTGATATGTAAAGATATTCCATGTCTATTTTCCTTTCATCGACTGACTTGCGCTTTTAGGGCTATGGGATGATGAGGTACGACCTGGACAGGCAATGTATTCTTGCAATCACACCATCGCACTCCCAACGCCATCCCCTAACGCAGCAAAGAACACCGAGATTCAAATCGACCCGGCACTCGGAAAGTCCCTTGCGAATTATCTTGGAAATTCTGAGCAAAATATGGGCAATTCATCAATATTCAACTTTCGCCTTGTGGCTGAAGCAGACGGGTTAAACATCCTCACACAAGCCATCGGGCTTATCAACAATTACCAGAATGGGGAGATGTGGGTTGCTGGTCTTCTGGGAAGGTTCACCGGAGCCTTAGTACTGCATATGGACAAGGTACTTGATAGAACGACGATTGAGGAGGAAAGGACACACGTAAAGAATACTCTGAGAGTGAAGTGGAAACGAGTTGCTATTGTATTGGGATGTTTGGCTGTTGGGCAATTGTTGATTGCGGCTGGATCACTATGGTACTGCCATGGCTCGATTCTGGTCTCCGATGATGTGCCTTCTATGGCAGCTATGATCAGGCCATTATCATTTCCGTCTATGGCACCCACCCCAAACAGAAATTCAAATATGTTACATCCAACACTTGGGCCACTGTTTAGTTGGGTTGAAAAAAGCAAGGGATGGATTTTGGAAACAGGGCTGGATCGACCAGCAGGAATTTTGGATGAAGAATTAGCTGAAGATGAGAGTGTTCTTCCAGATGGAGGTAGCGTCGCGTTGACCGGCGAGAAAACATCTCAGTCTTTACACCCCACCCCAAAAAATTAAGAAGAAGTATCCCGCTGCTCACGTACATTGATACTTACAATGTAGATGCATATTTTCACAGTTGCCTCTCCTTAACCTACTCCCAATGTATTTATGTTTGACTGTTTTTTAAAGAGATAATCAAATTGTGATAATTGTGATAATTGCAATTCATGTACAGACTTCGGAAAAAGGTTCCATTATAATCAAACTATAACATATTTTCGGTTTCACTGTCCGTAGAAAAAGGTTAATGGTTGGCATTTGCAATGTTAATCAGTGCGCAGTAACTCTCACTTCATTGAAAAACACAAACATGAATTATATGTACTTGGCCTGGTATTGGTAGATACTACGAGAAAGAGCACCCCTTCTCAATAAAGTTTTTTCTGGATGGAAATTGTTTTATGGTCAAGTCCTGGCAAACCCAGGCACGTCACGTGGGCCGATAACGAGACCATTTTATGGTGTACTACCCCAAGAGCTTTTTAATTTAAAAAAAATAACTTAGAGGCCCTATTAGTTGATTACCTATGTAGATACTAATCTACCTCTAGGACCCCATCTTTAACTGGATACAAATCTACCTCCAAGACCTCTTGGACCACTACGAGGGGCTGGACACGAGACCACTCAGACATCAAGCAAAAAGATAGGTGTTTCTAAATCCTAATGAATATTTGTAAAAGGACCTTTATGTCAAGATGCTATGATGGGGGGCTGAATTCGAACATGCCACTGATATTTCGCCGGAACCACAAGACGCTGAAGCTTTAATTCCTCACTGGACGACACAAAATAGCTGTGTTGGAGCGTCAGGCAACTTGGAAATGATAGAATCACCCAATATGTTGCAATGACAAACCGAATTAATCTCAAATAATGTTCAAAAACTGCATCTCGAAATGAAGGGAATATCGATGACGACAAAAAACGGAACCAGTATCAACATCAAGATCGAAGGAGCTCCTTTTCATACGGCTGCCGAGGATTATAGTGGAGAGTATGAAGGGAACTACAGGGCTTCTCGCGCGAACGGCCAAGCGGTTATTGTGATAATTTCTCGAGCCCAATCTTCACCCTTCCACCTTTTCTGGTCATTTACTTCTTCACCCACTCTGAGAAAAAGTAGAGCACTCCCACGCAGCGGGGCTGGCTTATGGCATGGCAGGTAGCTGGGTTTGTGGTTTCAATGTGGTCCTCGAGCTTACATTTAAAAAAAGTCGCCATGTACCTGAAGTATTCTTATTCCTAAGGATGGGAATTCTAGAGGCCTGATCAGCCAATGTCTCCTTTTATGGCTCAAAGTGTCATCGATAGGACTGCCTATAGTGGCCGGGGTTGGTAGATATATATGTCACTGTAATACGGATAATTCAGGAGCTTGGAGTATGTACGGTGGTATAAATGTGCTGGGCCGCTCATGGTTTTCCGCCGCCCATGGGAAGCATATGCCCCCCGTGAACAGCAAGGCCTCCCTTGGGAGGCATACGTGCTATACCTCTCACCAATTTTCTCACCAATTGAACTAGTTTCGTACCCTTATTTGACCTGCCAAGTACGAAATTGCAGGGTTTATTTTAACATTTGTAGCCTCGTGCTTCGATTTTGCAAAAAGTATTGAACACAAAACCTATAAAAACAACCATTATTTTCATCTGATAGTGTTCCAACGTTTTGCATGCCTACAAGTATTATCATTGAAATTGTAGTCAAAAAAAAAACAAAGGAAAACTGATAGGGATAGGAGATATGCGTCTCACGGGAGGCACAGCCTTTCGCGGGGGGTATTTGCTTCCCACGGGCGGCGGAAAACCATGAGCGGCGCAGCTAAACTAGATAGTATATTAGGGCTTTTAAAAATCACGTAGAAATTCTCAATTTCGAGTAAAATTGAATATATACGCGCCCTCAAATTTAACCGATAAATAGCCTGATTGGCTCAATGGTAGAGCGTCTCCCTCCTATAACGGTGTCAAGGAGAAGGTTGCGGGTTCGATTCCCGTGTTAGGTTCTTCTTTTAGTGTTTTTGATGAACAAATGAAAACAATCTTCGGTGTTGAAATACAAATAATCTCAGAACAGAGACGTTCATGTCCTCGTTTCAGGCCTAAAATTCAACAAGTTGCAAAAAAGCTACAGTGAGAAAGATACAAAGTAAATTGGGTACGAAAATGTGTTGACTCATAATCCATCCTTAAATTTCTCCAGAATGTCCACTGGGAAGTTATCTGCAATTGCTTGATATCCTGCCACATTAGGGTGCAAAAAGTCACCAGAGTCATATTCAGGCCTCAGCTGCGTCTCGTTTTTAGGATCTCTCAGGATCTTGTCGAAATCAGCCACAGCATCAAATATTCCAGCTTTGACCGATCCTCGCAAAAACGCATTCACCCTCTGTCTTGTCACCTCCCTCTCTGGCGTCCCATACGACTGCCCCGTTCCTGTAAACGGTGTTATCGTTGCCACAAATGCCGGGAGCCCGGCAGTATGTAGGCGTGCAGACATCTGTTTGAATGCCCAGATAATTCTATCACCAACGAGAGTCTGCGCTTCGGTGGTGGAAGCTGCGGTTCCAATGTCGTTCACACCCTCAAAGATCAAGGCATATTTGATTCCAGAGTGGGATAGAACGTCCCTGTCAAGGCGGCCAAGTGCATTGGGGCCGAGGCCATCGGCCAGAATCCGGTTTCCACCAGCTGCTTGGTTGATAATTCCGATGGACGAGGTAGAACGGCGTTGTTGAAGGCGACGGAGGAGGAGGTCAGGCCATCTTTACACATTCAAATACCAAGATTAGCTCTAGATCCAATCAAATATATTAAAAGATAGATGCTCACCGGTTATTTTTGTCGGTCGTACTTCCCCTCCCATCAGTGATACTATCCCCCACGATTGCCAAACTGCCAGCTTCCTCCTTCGTCCACGCTTCAACAGCACTCACGAAATACCAATGGGCAAGGGAAGCAGCCCCTTCCGTGATATTGGCAGCACTCACGTGATCGCCTTTCTTCAACCATGAGTTCGTCCTGCTGCCAGGGTGCGATGTAATTGCTTTGCCCTTTTGTCCATCCTTCAAATATACCGAAACCGCCAAGTTTGTGCCGCTCTCGACATTTATATCGATTGGGTCAGAGAGAACCAGAGCGCCGTTCGGAACGATTACAGATTCGCTTCCGGAGAAAGTAAGTTTCTTGAGGGTGCGGGGTTGGATGGAAGCAATGCCAGCGAGGTTGTCTGCCGATAGAGCAATGGTAGCGGAGGTTATGGGCAAGTCCGAACCACCAAAGGCATTGGAGAAGCGGAGCTGGATACGGGTTGAGGGGAGAGTGAGGTAGATTGTTGAGCGGATCGTAGTATTCAGGAAAGTAGTTGTGCTATCAATCTTGATGGGAAAAACAACGTCAGCATATATTACAATTTATAAAATTAAAGAGAACTGATGATGATGGGTATGAAAGAGCATACAAAAGGTTCCGGAGGCAAGTTACTATCTTCCGTCAATTGAGGCATGGACGCCCATATATCGACCCAGTGGTAACTACGGGAATTAAGCGACCTTGGGGAAACGTCCGCAGTGGGTGCAGTACTGCCAACCGACCCAAAGAGAGCGATTGCCGCAAGAGTGAGGGCAACGAGTGAGTGGCGAGCCATATTTGAAAATTTCAAAAACGAATTTGATCCGAGCACCTGGTCGATTTCTAGCAATAGAAGTCAAGAGATGAAGAAACGTGGCTAGCTATGGGGCTTTTAAAGGACTTGGTCTTCCTAATGAATTCCTACCATGGCACGCCCAGCTGTTCCAATGTTACGGTACAAGGGTACTCTATATCATAGTGCTCAAATCAAATCCGAGATTACCCCCCACCGGATCAACCCTTAACATCCATGGGTCGGCTATTCATGGCGGGGGTATAGCGGTATCTGAACTTCGGGGTAGGCCGCAGTCCATAAGACTTTTTCATATATCACTTAGGTGGGGAAATAAAAACAAATTCATGATATTCATGAAGGTTGTACTTTGAGGTGATGCATGCATAGCACGTGCTTGTACAAAGCACCTCTGATCCGTAGAACATGTATTTGCGAAGTAAACTATAGACAAGAGATGCAAATCATATATGAGGCAGAATACTATAAGTTACCTGGTAGTGGGTTCGAGACTGCCTGGTAGTTTTGGATCCAGGAAAGTATATTTCGCATGTGAAGTAAATATCGTTTAACATCTGGCGATAAACTTAACTTATATTCTCGTAATACAAGCGCCAGCTAAATTACATCTCTCGACAGTCCTAGAGATCTACATTATTATAGTTATATTGCTCTACTAAGAAAGCGCATACCTTTGGTAGGTAGCATATACTCTCCTCATTGTTTTTTTAAACACGAACTAGCAAATTGATTGAATGAATAAGTACTTCCAGCCATAATAGTGCGGAGATAATTGAGCAACTTGAATTGTCGATGTATTGTAAAATAGTTATTTTCGCACGCAATTCGCCTCTCGACTGGTATTTCGTGCTCAGAAATTGAGTGAAATCATGCAATTTGGCCCTGGAGGTCGTTAAAACTCGGCAAGTTGCCTTTCATCTAATCTCCGCCGTCTCCGCCAACTTTCCCGGGGCAGAAGTATTGTGGGGTAATATGGCCTAAAGTACGTCCCATGCTTGAAAGCGGATATCAGATCTCGGCTAAATGTACAATTACTACAAGTAGGTAGGCAAGTCACTTACTTGCCTTGGGCTTTGAACCGAGTTGGCATCCTTGCCACCCTGAATATCTCCCCGTTTCCAAGGCAACGTTGTATAACCGGTAGTACATGCCTCGAATCCCGCTAGCATGTCAAGTCGCTTGAATTGATACAAAGCGCAGCATATGTATGTGCGCCTCGTAATGCAACAACATACCTAATGTAGTCATGTTAATCCTTAATGAAAAATTGTCATTGAGACACAGAACTCACGCGTTATGATGCATGATTGAAACATCGGACCTTTCTCCCGGTAACAAGGTAGTTAGTTAGTTTGTGGGCATTGACTTTGGCTCAAGTTATCCTGGATTGCACATATCCTATCGGCCAGCTCTGTGCTTATATAATTCACGCCAAATAGCACGAATGAACAAAAAGTCTACTTCAGATATTAAATTATAATGAGTTACTTGATCCCTTAAGTTACCAAATTGTGAACCAAGGTCTACTTTAGGCCCGAATCTCCCCGGTAAACGGCTGAATTGGTTATACACACAGTGGGTGATGTGAAGACTAGTATGAAGTGGTGGGGGCTATACTAAGACTTGAAGTTCGTTGGATGCCTCATTCTAGCTTATTCCAATCTTAGGGCTTGTTCACATTCCGTACATGATGGAAGTTGCAAAAGTCAGTGGCCAGCTATAACCGGCCAACTGGTAACATACTCGATGAACTCCCTAAAAACGAGAATTTAACCGCAATCTCAGGGTACTTTAGCCATGGCTTAAGCTGCTTTATTACCTATTTAACTGATGGCCAAAATCGTCATGAGTTTTGGGACTTTTAACTCTGTCTATTAGAGTCTCTTCAATTACAAAAACTCGGTGTTATGGGATAGGCGGTTATTGCTGGACTCACCTTTGCAACGAGACTGAACTTTACTAAACATGGTACCTAAAGTAACAATGCGAATCCACGAACATGCCCCCCTGCCCACTTGCAATAAGTTTTGCCACAAGTACTGCAGTAATATGTACTCATGTCGCCGAAAAGTTTGCCCGTAACGTGAAGGGTAGTTGCGTTGCAACAGGATCAACAGGTCTTCTACCTACTTAATGCGTCAGACGGACAAATTTTCCCGCGACATGAGGAATGACTTTTGCGTTCGCTCAAAGTACATGTATCTGTTGAAGGAAAAATATTCATATATACTTATCGCCAAGTATCAATCCAATTCCTTTGGGCCCTCGCATGCACTAATGGAGATCCAGACACGATCGAGGGCAAAGGGCGAATCTTTGGAGGAGGGCTGGAACGGGGGTGAACACAGATCTTGGCGAAGGCTCAATAAGGTAGTTACTGCCCAAAATGGATTATATAATACCGAGACAAAAGTATCGGGACAGGACTAGGCAAAATTACTAGCGTAGTGTCCTGATAGTTTTGTCCTGGTGTAATAATATTGTAAATTAATTTATTATATACCAAACCTTAGTCTCGTGCTCAAGCAAACTTTATATTTGGGCATTCTCCAAGCTAGCTTCGGATATGAGACAGGTCTATTTTGCGTCGTTCGGCGAAAAGATTGCGGCGTCTTAGGTATCTCATGTTTACACAAAGCGACAAGTGTACTTGAGACAAGTCTATGGTGCGAAAAATGTGTCAAGTAAACGCCGACAAAATAATTCTTCGTACGGAGAATCTTTTGGAATTTATGGGGTTTTCGTGAGCTGCGTACGGAGTAATTCTTTGTTCACTTTTTCATGGGGCTGCCATACAAAAAATAACTTGCTAAAACTCCCTACGGGATTGACAATCTCGCGGGGTTTTTGTGAGCTCCGTACGGAGAATTCCATTTCCATTTCTATGACTTTTTGCGCAAGTGCGTAGTGCTAAAGTTTAGTGCTCTATGCTACTGTATTTTGATTTTTTGAGACAATTATCTTATATTCCAACAATTAGGCCTATTAAGTATCTGAATCAAGAGAATAGTCACTTGAAAATAAATAACACTACGGGGTAATTCAGACGGGGTTTACTTAAGCTTGACACACCTGCCTCACCATACAAGTCCGATTGAAGACCAGATAGAAGGGTTAGATATTGGTTATTGAGGTGATGTAAGCTTGCAGAATTATAGTTGCTCATGTCACTATGTGTGCAAACGAGGGCTGAGATGTATTGTTTTGCATAGCCTCATGAGTTAAAATTAACAAAAGAATGAAAGTTATGTATTTAGTGTCTTGACACATCATCCCAAAGGTGGTGAGGGTACATGTCCGTAAACTTTTTGAATGAGGCATGAATAAATGTAAAAATAAAAC